TTACTGGAATTTGCATTCTTCATCGCCTCCGCCATAATTTTGATCACACCAAGCCAGTCTGGATTCGCATTCTGCTGTGCAGCCAAACCACCTGCCGGCGCTGCATTCACGTCTTCCATGTCGACATTACCGTCATCATCGATACCGTTATTTACCGGTATTTCAACATTAATTAAGGGAACATGCCCTACGTTAACCGCCTGCGTATGCCGCCTATCTTGCGACTGATGCCTAACACGAGACGCTGCCGAACGAGGCTGATCTGATCTCGGTTCGTTTAACTGACCACTGTCATTATGCGAAACTGAGGGAACTCGGAGAGAGTTTTCACCCCCGCAAACTTGATTGCTGCTGCTACCGCCTAAATTTCCTGCGTGAAACTGACTACTTTCGCTGCCGTGATTACTCACATTCGCGTTACTGCTCATTGGCACAAAACCCTGAGACTGACCTGACATCTGTGCAATATTACTGTAAGCCGGTGGCTGATTAAAAGCCAAATTACCCGTACCTACACGAACTTCAGGTTCAAAATTCCACTCTCTTTCGTGTGAAAACTGATTGCCTTTCAATTCTTCTGCTTCAACTCGCAATTTTTCCATACGCTGCATTAAATCAAGAATTTCGGAATCTTTACCGTGAATTCTGACACCAACTGAATGAATTAATTTCTCTTTCTCTTCAAGCGTTGCATTAAGCTTACGCTCTCTGCTCAGAGCTGACTTCAAATCTTTTTCCGCAACAATTTTCGCATTACATTCCAATTTACAATTAACTTTCAACTGCTCAATTTCCAAAAGCAATTTCTTCTCATTTTCTTTGAAAACAGCTAGAGCCTGCAAATTACTTGAACCAAGCGATTTTGACGCTTCTGCCTTCACTTTCTGCAAATGTTCATTTGCTGACCGCAACTGAGCACTAAGCTCCTGATTTTCCAAAATTAATTTCGATGACTGAGAATCTTCCTCCTCAAGATCGCGAATACGTTTTTCATTCACCTGACACTTACTCGAAAGTGCACGAACATTTTTCTCATGTTCTGCATTACTTGCCTGAACTGCCGTTAACTGCTGCCTTAAAGCCGAAATATCACCGTGTAATTTATTTTTCAGTTTATCGTCTTTAGACAAAATTTCATTCAACCGATTAATTTCATCGCTATTTTGCAATTGCCTAAGACACAATGCAACATAATTTTTCGTACACCGGATCATAGTACCCAATGAATCACGAGTGACTGCTAATGCCTCTTGCTCCGATTTTGAAGCTTTCAACTTAGCGTCAACCTCACTTACTTCTTGCGCAAATTCCTGATTTAAAGGATCAAAATCATTTTCAAAAATGAAATGCCGCAAATCTGACTGAAGGGGATGCAAAAGATTATTCACATTTTCATCGAAAGGAATATCTTCATCCAACAATAACTTTTCACAGTTAAACGCCGTATTATTTTCATCGTCTGAATTTTCAGAAAAAGGAGTTCCTTCTCTCATCGTAATATTACCAAGGAAATTACTGCCAACCGTATTATTATTCTGATCATTGCTCATAGTAAACACGCGTTCATCGCTTACTTGAGCCGCTGCACTACGTTCTCTCGCCATATTGGACGGAGTCACAAAATTCCCTACCACTGCTGAATTCAATTTTTCAACCGCATTTCCAACTACTTCTGCATTCTGCACACTTACTGACTGCCCTACTGAGTGTGGATTTACCAGTTGCGACATCACCGATCTCCTCGGATCCACCACTTGATCTGGATTTACCACTGACGGAGTTACCTGTTTCCCAGGATTAACCGTACCGACTGACTGACTTGAAATCAACTGCATACTGGACAGAGTCATGCCATTTTTCTGTGCACTCGAAGCCGAACTATCTTCCAAGTCCAACAACGACTCACTTACCGCATTCCCAGAATTTCAATAATTACCGAGGCGTTTAACTGCCCATCTGACATAACTATGGTATCCGAGATTTCTTACCAGTACCTGACTCCTTTCTTTGCTGCACTTCTTCGTACGCAGTGACATTCAAAGTCGCCCATTCTTTGCTGCTTTAAACTCTGCTTCTGACATATTCAAATAAGCTGACGGGATAGACCGTTCGTGCGAGAACCAAGTGCTATAGTAACTCGAGCTCTTACCAACGTTGAATTTTGTCTTCCCAGTCAACCCATTGTTGACTGCATACGCGCTCTTTTTCTCCGGAGGTTCTAACCCTACTGCCCTATACATTACAGGAACTTTCTTCGAAACTGAAACGAGTATCGAACCCGCTTTCAACCGCTTTCGGAAACTGAAATATCTGATTCAACTTTTCTCAAACCCGCTTTCAACCGCTTTCGACTGCAATCTATCTGATTCATCTTTTCTCAATGGCCAAAAGCCATCTCGTTTCACAGTTAAATCTGCTAATTCTGACATTTTGTTTGCAATGCAACCGCGACTAACCTTACCAATTACAACTGGATTCAGAAAGTGAAAGTTACACTGTTCCCGTTGATTGACGAATCAACCAACTCGTATGACCCACGGTTCTTGACAGAAATGCACGTACGCTACTCAAAGCTGTGACTCCTGACAACACCGTTTCGTTAGGACGACGCTGACTCAATACCAACCTCCGCGGTACTGAAACAACACGTCCGAAAATCTCGTTGTTACAGCACGCACTCAAGCATGCGTAACCAACTCGTATGAATCTCGTTGCTACAACACGCACTCAAGCATGTGTAAGCAACTCGTATTTACAGCTGACCTTTAAGGTTTCAACTGCGAATCGTATTTAACCGCTAGTTACAACACTGTGACTGATTTCCAGTTAACAGTGACACTGCGTTTCACAACAAGAGACAGCTATATCTGCTCTGTTGATTACCGAAAATTTTCAAAAATCGTAGTACGATGGCTACTCCGCTAACTCGGATACGCCATATTTACCAAAATTCGACATTTTTACGAAGATTCAATATTAAAGAACGGCTAAAAATACACTGCGAATTTTCGCACGTTTGACTTACAATTCCACTCAGCTAATCCTGCTGGTTCTGCCGTTCAAATTCACGTAGTCGTTCTGGCTTGCCCGGTTCAGAAAAGAAAAATAAAAAATGAAAGGAAATTTTGACCTCGAATGGTCTTACGGTGCTTTTTCAATCATAGACACGTAAAGTGCCGCATACACGAACAGTTTTCAAGTGCCTATACTGTTCTCAGTCCGTATTGTCACCCAAAATATATATCGCTAAGTGCGAATCAATCTATACATCAATCAAACCGGGGGACTCGGTTACCCTAGGTCAGAACTGGAACGCAGACCTCCTGCACCACACTAGTGGCTCCTAACGGACTTTCTTAAATGTGGGCTCTCTCGAGTTGACCACCAACCATCCTGCACCATCAATTTAATTGTACTATCAAATTAAATTAAACTTTCTGCTCCATCGGGAAAGTTTGAACCACGGTGGGCGCCATGTCGTGCAATAAGGAAAAAATAAAATAAAAGACGTGCGGTGGAAATATGCACTTCCCAGACCACGACCAGTCGGGGGAATAGAGCGACTCTTAATCTCAACTTCTTATGTATTTCATGGAGCGAAAGGTTAAGGATGTTGATGTACAAGTATGAGATGATATGCAGGGATGAAGAAGAGGATCCGGAACTCGAAAGCCTGCTGAAAGAGAAGACACGAAAGGGAACACAAGGGATGCGTGAAGTTATACGTTACCTGTCCGACGCTAGATGGTAGCTGAAGCGTATGAGTATGACAAATCCATCAACCTGGCGCTACAGGGCATGAAGATCGAAGGGACCGAAAGGTCACGGCAAACAAGTGGGATCAAGTGGGTAGCCTGTTACGTCACGAGACTATCCGAAGATGATAATGCACGTCGACGAAGTAGAGGAATGACCCCTGACAATAGGTGAAAGGTCACCCAGAGGTCAGTTTGAACAGCCTCACTTGGAAAGAGAAGACCAGAGCAAAAGCCTGAAGTTAATCAGATCGAGTAACAAGACTCTACTTTTGTTGGGATTACAACTCTTGACATTTGTGTGGGCGACGAGCGCCTTATATAGCCCTGGGCACCGCAAGTGCTGGCTCTTCGTACGCGCAGGTACGGGTCTGAGAACAATAGGGATTTACATCTAACCAATAAGAGACATCTGAGGACACGTGGACTAATCACACCGCTGCATCACTACACGTGGACTAATGAGAACATCAGGTCAACTAATACACTAGAACAATAGGTTGAGCTACGTCATCGAAGCGCGGTCACGTCGAAATGGCAAGTCGCGGTCAAAGTTCTCTGCTGGGGATTTCTGAGAAGTCGAAGTAGAGACTCGGGGTCAGGACTCGCGTAGAAGATGTAGTAAAGCCTAAGCCTTAGTTGTAAGGGTAGAAGTAGAAGTAGTAAAGTAGTACCGATGTGTACTAGTGTGAGGAGGACGCCAGTACACGTCAGGGCGGCTGCCAGGTGACAAATGCGCGTTTTTTACGGTTTTTGTCAGTTTTCTCAGCATATCCTTTTCTCTTCTATTTCTAGCCCTTCACGTTTGGGTTTCTAAATTCAGTATGATCTGTTAAAATATCAGAAAGCTTTAGAGGAGAAAGGAACTGAGAATATCTTTAAAAACGGATAAGAAAATCTGTGGGCCTGTGGTAAGCAATAGCACAGCAGTGCATTCTGTATGCGACAGTGATAACGTAGTCGACCGTTGCAGAGTCGCTTCCCAGTCCTTCTACCTATAGTAAGTTCTTGGTACAGTATATATTGATGCGAACTGCGAGAACAGGGAAGAGCTGCATTACCAGTTCATGCTAAACGTCCAGAGTGACCTTAGTACAAACTTCTAAGTATTTTGATTTCTTCGCTCAGCAACTCGGAACTGAGAGCAATTCAGATCGCCATTAAAAAAGTTATCGTAGAGGGACTTAAATTTAATCGGTAATCGGTAAATTTCGTAGTAATCGGTAAATGGAATACTACGCTAGCCCCGCCTCCAGTCTTCTGATTGGCTGCATATTTCCCACCTGACAGTGGATTACGCATAATGATTGGCTTACCGGGGAAACATGGCTACCAATCTGAATCTGCTTCCTCTGTACCTCTAGACTGTAGGTGCTTATGGTTAGCGTAACTGCTCTTCAGATATTCCACTTTTTCAGTGCCACAGTTCGTTTTGCGAACGAACAAATTATTCTTGCAGTTGAATCCAGTCAGAATTTTACCGAAGTTGTAGTACTTTCGTGACTTCCTGCTGTGCGTAATCCATTGTGTTCATCTGCCAGTTCGACGGTGAGTATTCTAACTACATGTCCGTTCACTTACACTTTTACTGCATTTCTGTTTCCTGGAGATTGGAGCTAATTTTAAATTCTGCAGTAATTCTCTGCCATGCCACTGTTACCCCCAACGAAGACCCCAGCAGTGAATCTGCTGTACAAGATCCCTACGGATCAGTTCGTCTGCGGAGCAATTAACACCAGCAAGCAGATACCGTATACGGCTGATATTAGCGTCGATGCGGATCCCACCTATCCCGATATCCCAGCATCCGTCTGGACAGTCACGATGTTGGTGACTGAAAACAGCGCAGCCGTTACTGCTACGGTGTGTCCCAAAGAGCCATCAGCAAATGTGAAGTCTTCCAACGCGATTTCGGTAGAATGCCGAGTACGGTGCGTTTGTAGAATTATGCCACTTGTCTCTCTACTCTGTACTTTATCTTCTGGGCTTTTGCTGGACAGATATTAACATACTTTTTATGGTTAGCCATATAGAAAGTTCGTACAGGTTACTTGAGTGTCCACTCAGTGTTTTGCTCCCCAGATGGTAAATTAAACCTATATCATCCATTTTTATGTAGATTAGGTCCTGCAATATTTGGTTGTTTAAAATAGGGCTTCCGCGGACGGACCATGTGACATACGCATCGAAGAAACTGGATGGCGCCTTCCTACTGCCTCAGGAACTAACCTAATGGAGCTCGTCACCTCCACGTACTCGAGCGGATATACCCACTATGCACTGAAGAGAGGAGTGGTGGTCTTTGTTAATCTTACGTTCTACGTGGCCAAAAAGGCTGAGGACGCTATCGCCCATAGACAGGATATGAAGCAGTTGCTGGATTCCCGTATGCTGACCGATTTCAAACTGGTTTGCGGGGGTAAAGATATCGCGGTGCATCGTGCCATCGTGGCCGCGCAGTCGCCGGTGTTTGCTGCCATGTTCCAGAACGATATGGAGGAGAAGAACACCGGACAGTGTGAGATCAACGATATCTCCCCGGATGTACTGGAGGCCATGATTCAGTTTGCATACACCCGCTCGCCGCTGGAAGCAAACGACATGCTGACCGATCTGTGGATGGCGGCGGAGAAGTACGATATGGTGGATTTGCGTGCGGAATGCGAGACGATGATGGCTGCTTCGCTGACGAAAGATAACGTTGTTCAGCGTCTGTGCTTTGCGGAAAACCATGATCTAAAGAAACTGCGAACCAGTGCCCTGGCGTTCATTGGTCGACATGTGGAGGAGATCGAGTAAATAGTTTGGCGTTTCATGGAATGGTTTCAGTTTACAGCAATCCTTACCTTTGTGTTGAGAAGACTGTTGTGCTGCTTATCGTTGGGATTTTTATTTTAAGTGGTGATTTTAGTCTTATGGTTTTCTGGGTAAACGCATCTACTAATTTTTTTGTGAATGATCGTTTGGAAAGTTGACCTGATTATCTTCCATATTTCCGTCTATTTCTTTTGAGAGTATGTCGCTCAATGCGTTTGACCACGGAAACCCTTGTCAGGTGTACTGTAGTTTACCTTGATCAGGTTTTACCGGCTGTTAATTGTAAGTGAAACCGTTGTTTAATTACAAAACAAAAAAAAATTTCTGTTGCGGGAACCACCATACTCTACTTACCAGTTAGTTTAAAGATATCTGCATGTGTACTTACAGCTTAGGACAAAATGGTCGCATACCCAACATCTCCACATTCAGTACGAATGCAGCGCAGTGCACTGTAGGACTGAGTTCAAAATATCCGTTTCGTACAAGTGCACTGCACCGCTTGCGTACAGAATGCTGGGTATGGGGCTATATATGCGACCATTTAGTCCTACATTGTACTATGTACTTACTTACCTTACCAGTTAGATCAAAATTGTGGGACATCTCACGTGTGATTGATTTGTGTGAGTACGTTTGGCTATTACTTACTCTACTTTAGCATTGGTACGAGCATACAGTACGATACTTCCGTTCATCTGACGTTTTAGTGCCAGAGTGTTATCATTGTCCGTTCCTTGTGAAAAGAAAGTTTAAGTAACCGGGATCGGCTGAGAGCTTCCGTTGATTTATGGGATTTGAAATTGTATTGTTGTACGTTTCAATCCACACTCAATTTACATACATTTAATGCATGTTCAACTTATTTCCTCAGCTGCCGGCAACTAATTTCGCACTTATTAAATCAATCTCAAATTCAATACGATGCTGCCTGTTTTATAAGTACTCGTAGTCGTACCGACTCGTACGTTACAGAATAAAATTCGAATCAAATTATTCCGTGCTCCAAGAATTTTGAAAATGCTGTCAGGAAAAACCTTCAGCAAGAAACACCAAATCCAATCAAATTCCGCTAATCAGATTACAGCAAAATCTTTGGACTAGCGCCACGAAAAACCCATCTGCTTAACTGCCTTAACAATTAAAGACATAAAAATGTCACAAGAAAGAAAAAACCGAACAAATTCGACTGTAAAAAGTATAAACCACTTTACAATGCACAGAGAATCATTTTTCTCCAGAAAAAAACTCCCTCATCGATGAGCATTATCCCTAGGCACGTTGGCGTAGTATCCCGCCTCCTCCGGATGTGCATAGCCCTCGAACCCCGAGAGACTCCCGTAATCCACATTCCCCGGCGGTCCATAACCACCGACATGCTCGCCGTTGAGGCGCGCTGTCTGCGGGGATGCGGCGTCGTCCGAGTCGCCGGAATCCATGTACTCATCGTCGAAATCATCGGCGCCGCCCATGCCCAGGTCCTCGTCGAAGGTGCCGTTGAGGTTCATCCGGTGCTCCACCGGGGAGTCGGCGTGCCCGTCGGATCCGCTGGGCAGATCGGGCGAATTCAGGCAGGTCTGGATGAGCGCCTTCCCGGCCTCGCTGGTGATCATCGGCTGCAGTTTGCGGGTGGCGAAGGTGTACACGTGGCCGGTCTCCGAGGCGACCAGCAGCATCACCTCCGTCCCGGTTAGTGTGGAGAGTTCATACGCCTGTACAATACGGTACGTTTACAGTTTAAATGAGGAAATTCCGTGCTGCGGATGAACATGCTGCACGAAAAATGCTAACAGCTATGGCGAAAATACCACTCTAGAAAAAGTAGCACCCCGTAATTCGTCTTGAATCCTGCACACGCAATTTTTGAAAAGGAAATACATATTACAAACTAACATTTTCACATGTAAAGAACAAAATTAACTGCATCTTAACTAAGTAATATCATATTGTACGGGCTAGTAAATCATACAGGCCCACCATAACAAGCCCACCAATACAAGATGGCATCAGTGGAGGCAACACACTACGAATATCTACGATCTGTGTACGAACTACGAAATAATACGCATTACGCAATATAAAAATAATTTAATTTTATGTACTGAGAAAATTAATTACTGCGCAGTTAACTTTAACGTAGCTTTTAAAAGAGCAAACCAAAACCGGCTACTCAAGGCGCACTATCCCTAATTCACTACTGCGAAGCTTGAATTTATGCAAGGAAGATTAAAAAAAGAATGTTATAACAATATAGATACTATAACATGCGCGCGATGTATGTAGTACTTACTAAGTACTAACTACAGTCTGTACTAATGTAAATAAGCACTTTTTAATTTTATTTTATCAGGTTAGCTCCTAACGCAAGAAGGCAGAAACAAGAAAGCACTGCTACAAGCGCTGGATTGGTAAAATCTTCTTCAATGGAAATCACAACACACACCACCTTCGCAATACTCTACCCAAGCCTAATCGAGCATTCCGATCATAAACCTACATCCGCAATCATAAAAAGCAGCGACCACGCAAACTCACCTTCTTCATCAGTCCCGCTTTCCGTTTACTGAACGTGGTATACCGCCGCAGTTTATTATCAATAAACTCCATCTTGATCTTCACCCGGCCCTTGGTCTTCTTCCCGTGCGCCGTCTTCAGTTTCCCCTGGGTGCTGCCTACCTGCAGCGTGGGGGCGGTGGACGCCGTCAGCTGGATCCCCGGCAGACCCTCCGGAATCCCCAGGCGCTCGAGGTGGGGGTTCGGCAGGGCGATGCCTGTGACGGAGGGCAGGGGCACCCGCATGAGGGAGCCCCCAGGGGCCGAGGGGAACGCGGCGGACCCCGCGGACGACACGGCGGCGCTGCTGTGGGTACCCGGGGCTTTATTAGAGGATTTCTTGGCCGGATGGGCCGGCGAGGAACTGGACATGGTGAGGCTGGGTGTGGAGATCAGACTGGCATTAAGGAGAACGCGGGGGGGAAATCGGCGGGGGTGGAGACGACCGTGCTGACGTTGAGTGCACTGGTTTGGCGCAGTGATTATGTTTCAACGATCGCACGGTGTGTTATACCGCCTCCGTGGTGTGGCACAGATCGAGCGCTCCAGATTGAAATAAATCTGTAAGATGGATTCATAATTTAGGGGAAGAGATCTAAAAAATCGCTTACGAGAAGAAGCGCCATCATGACTGACAAGTTGGTTTATCAGCGTTTATGCTAATCATTGCCAATGCGAATGACATCAATGAAATTCAACACGCGGATTAATTTTTCTGCATGTTGACAGGGGTAACAGGGAAATACGCCGTACGCGCCATGTGTTATCGCGCAGCCCGCATTTCGAATTCAGTTCAACCGTTCCTTATCGGGTTTAGTGCCGGAAACGGCAGTTAAGACAAACATTCCCATCCTGATAAGAAATATAAATTGTTGTGTTCTCATGACGATTTACCGTGCCGATTTATTTTTATAAACACTGCACCAAACTTGCGTATGTAAGCAAGGGTGGCTCACGTACATCGGCTATATACGTATATTATTATTTCCACAAATATACATAGACTCAAAACTTTCATAGTTTCGTTCCGGTAAATTAGCAACAAAACGAATTTTTATCATTATAAATTTGAGTTGAGCTATAATTGCACTACTTACAGCCCGAAAACGTCAGTTCTTGGTGCAGCAAAAATTCTCGACGAAAGGTGACCGAAAAAGTTTTTACCGTACCGACCGTACAAAATTTATAATTAGTCGTTGTTAAGTTACCAAAAACTGTATGCTTGAAGTTTTTATGATCAATGGGTTTTTAATTACTTAATTAGGAACGAATTCTTATTGGATTACGCATATATTTTCTTCTACCACGAGAAGAGTGAACGCATCGTTGACGCGTCTGCCGCCTCCGGAGACGAATATTAATGACATGGTAGTGTAGGAGATAAACACACTCACCGGCTGAAATGGTACAAAACGTCCCATTATAAAGTTACCAGTTTTCAAAAGCGCTATCAATATAATTTTATGACTCAAGTGGCGCGGGGCCACAAGGCTGAATAGAAATGGGTTAACGATGAACTCGTCCGAGCTGACAATATAACAATTATTTCATTTATGGAATGGATATGAAAGTTTTCGGCAGACTGCCGATCGGCAGTGAACGGGTAATTTGTTATCTTGATAAGGATCAAGATGTGCCAAACTCTGCCAACCTGACTGCCTCATGGGCACGCGAACCGCGCTGTCAGGTTATTGGGTGAACTTCCTTGAATTCTTGAATTCGTGATAAAAAAATGTGCATTACGTTTCTACAAACTGTTAACAACAACCAGTGTTTCTACCATTAGACATTCGACAGTAATATTTCTGCTTAAATTATAAGGCTCCCAAAAACGAAACTCCTAATTTCTTCGGCCACTGCACTACCAATCTCCTATATACCCATAACTGTAACGCAATGTACGCGTCCTGCTTCTGATTTTATATGCTGCAACAACTATAAGTAGATAAATGTACGCAATATGCAATTATGCATAAGAAACTGGCAATATTAACGCAAAATGCGCCGGTTAATCAGATTGCTAGCACTGACGAATGCCACTACTCAGAATGCGCTGTCAGGGCTTCTGCTTTGTTGTCATGCATAATTTTTGGTTTTGCTATTGCGGAATGATTCACATGGCGCACAATGTACATCTGTCGTGTCAGTCTGGAATTACGGCGTTTCGAATTAATTACAGGAAAGTGGGAACCTATGAAGGCATAGTACTTAAACAGCCGTCTGTTAAACCTCGCATGTCACGTTATCTAGCATATCTAACAAAGGTCAAGCAAATGCAACGTTATTTTCTCTCAAATCCTCAGCGCTCAACAAAACAGCCCAGAACTGCACTTTCTCCACTCTTATTACGGATGACATTAAATGCTTGAGTTTTGTTAAAAATTGTATGACAGCTCGACAGCAATTAATTTACGAAAAAGGCACAAGCACTTGTGCAGACTACTGACATATTACCTGAGTTTTAACCAATTTTCTTTTTACAGTACATACTGTACAAAGAAAATTGGTAAAATGTGAATTCATTTGTCGAAAATTAAGCTCAGAGCCTAACCATAACCCTTAGATTTCGACTTTCACGACTGTAGAGCAGTAATCAAGTCAGTCAAAATCCTGGTGACCTTTTAAGTGTGGAAAGTAAATACACCCACATGTGTGCATCGTCAATATTGGCACAGACGTTTGTGATGCTAATCAAAATTAAGCTGTACACTTGCAAAAAAAACCGTCTCAAGTTCCCTAGAAATCGTACAGTAACTTAGAAAACAAAGTCAGTAGATTCGTAATACTTACAGAGTAGTCTTAAAAAGCAATATCAACTAGGTATCGGTCACGGGAGCAGTATTACTTACTTTTTACGAACAATAAGCAGTTTACTATTTGAAAAGCGAAAAGATACATTTGCCTCATTTCGCCCTTTACACTCTACAGCTTGTCAAAGACCATTCAACCAACATCAACGGAAAACAGTGGCAATTGTCCACACGGACAATCTCTGCGCAAACATGGCCACTACACGACAATGCGACAAGATAGCCTACCTTTTTGCCGCCGAACGCCGCTCAGCATGCCACACTCAATGCGCCAGCACGATACAGCAGACAAGCGACGCAAAAATCCCGTTCTACCTCTTTTATATCAGAATCATGTTTGCCCATCGGATGATAATCAAGAGTGGGCCGGATTAAATCAATTCGCAACAGGTTGCCAGAATGCGCCGAGTAAACACTTGCCGTGCTACGCCGGCTGAGTTAGGACTACTTCCTTTACGGCGAAGTGTGTATTCAGCAGCCCGAATGAGCAAAAATTATTTCAGATGGGCTCCGATCAAATAACACAAGGAACACAAAAACTCATTGGAAAAACTAACATTTTTCGGTAAGTAGGCAGTTTCGTTACGTTCGGATTGAATGGTGACAATCCGTACGTACAATGCCGCGCGGTAATACTGAATGGGCCAATGGGATTTCGAGTGGGTATTCGGTTGAATGCGATAAAAAGCGTTGTATCAACAGGGTGTTGATCCGTCTGCGCCTGATTAGTCTAGTGCGGCCACTTAGGCAGTCAATGGAGTGTGTTGATCCGCAAATTGACCAATCTGTTGACTGAAGTGCAATTGCTCACCGTTTTCAAATATGGGATTTTGGACGATTGTGGAGATAACACAGCAATGTTCGGTAATTTTCCCGGGTTGTCACGTTCTGTGGCCAAAGAAATATGCAAATAAGCACCGGTCCAGGGTCGATGCCGGAATACCGTCTACAAAAGAGACATGCTTTATCAGGATCTAGCAAACGTTGCAAAAATAATTTTAATACCGTTCTAATTAGTGTTGCAGTTTATCACTAATATCCAATATCCATTACCAAGAAAGATACCGTTTAAGAAATTTTCCAGCACTTTCTTAATGCAAGCATGCAGAAAACAAAATTATCAAAAGAAACTTTGTAGAAAAACCAGAAACAAGTTACAGACTGATAGTAAAATATTTTTTTCTGGTTTTGCCTTAATCTGAAAGCAACAACAAGTAAGTTAATAAGCTGTTATAGCTTGTAGTAACTCACTAGTAAGTACCGGTAGTACCTTGGTATCTCTACTTCAGTCTTCGGTTAAACGTTAAATCCACTCGAGTATCTTCTTAAAAACTTACATAAATGATTTAAGATATACAGTACCAAGATAATCCATAGGCAACCTTCTCATAAAAAACTTATACAGAGCTGCAAGATATTTCTACCAGTTTCGGATGAACAAAAACCCCCGCATTATTAGAAAAGCTGGTTTGCCCCAACTAGCAATTACAGCCAAAAATTTAGCAACAACCGAAGCAGGCAGAATATCAAATGCGATGCACTCTCATCTGAAACACATGAATCATCGAACGAATTCTGCTCACTTGTAATAATTAATTCTGCCGCCAGACCATTGTCATCGCTCCACAATGCGTCATGGTTTTAACCAGATAAATAATTTTGACCAAAACTGTTGCAAGAGTATTAAGATTTTTACCCTGTAAAAAGCGCCGACAAAATAAGCGGCGCACGCGCAAAACGAAAATCTCCAGCTTCCAATGACCAGCGCGGAATTCCGTTAGAAAATTAATGGAGAAGAATTCTCAATCAGGTTAGCCTTAGGTCAGAATGTTAAACAGCTGAAACTCTCAATTTGCAGTCAAAGGAATCGGTGGAAAAACGCTGCATCTTAATGATTCGACCATTCCACCGTGCATTTACGTACACACGTCCCAAATATGCCGCAGCGGAAAAACCAGCCGGAAATGGTGATTGGCTGCTTTATTTGGCATTGCATGCATATATAGCACTTAATACCATATAATTCATGTATGTGGCCACGTAGCCAGCTTTTTTTCGCTTTCCGTTAATACGACACTGTGGTTTGGCTTCTGTTTGAATTTAATTTTCCGCCTCACAAGACGCCGGTCCGCCGCGTGCACTGTGTGTATGATTAACGGCAGTTTAAGGGCGGGATTATAATTTCCAAATATGTCTTGTCCTTTTATGGAAGTTCCGTCATTAAAAACTTCTACCCTTACTGGAACGTGAACTGTCTTAACGCGGCAGCGCATAATGTACCGATATTAAATATAGCCGCTGGTATTACACATATGGTGCTAATTTGATCTGCTGCGCGGTTTATATATTCCTGCATGATGCTGGCAATCTCTCTTCAGCATCACACGGCGCGGCGATCGCGATCTGCAACCACGCTGGGAACTATTTTTACTGTTTGGCCTAATAAATTGTTGGACGCCTTCGCTTCCAATTTGCATCCTTAAATGCTTGAGCATGTGTTCGGTACAATGTAATGCTGCGTTATTACAGCTTCACGTCACAAGTGATTAACGCCTCGCGCAATAGCCGGTGACCTTTTGGAAATTTAAGTATAATGCTACTAAACCGCTGAGAAACATTTCACTTACATAAGTTTAGCAATAAAGTAAAATATTTTTATCTTGAAATGATAAATTCAGGCGACATATGCATGCTGTTACGAAAGATTGCTTGAAATAAAACATTTTATGCTCGATTTTATGACGTTTGAATTTACACATAAATATTGAAAGTACATACCCTTTATTGCTTAATGACTCCGCACTAAATCGGTTACATATTATGCGTTAGATTTTTTTGCAGCTTTGGTACAGTTAAGCACAAATTTGCTTCGTTATACATAACAGACAAAAATATTTTCGCGCATGATTTATATATGTGAAGACTGAAGTATACACCCACAGCCCCTATAATACCGGTTTAATTTATGCATGCGATATTATAAACCCAGTTGACAGTTATCGAGATTATAGCAATTCGACTTCTGCAGTTGGAAATAACACTATTTTTAATCTGACCCTTTCAGAAGGTGCACGGTTATGTGAAAAAAGCAATTATCGGCGTTTAGAATTATTATTAACTGCAACCGCGCCGAACAAAATAGTTCGGACGCCGTACGCGCGAAGAAATTCGGCAAAGCCTTTTATTACGGCACAAGAATAACAAGTAAATCACATATCCATCAAATTCAAGTAGGCAATGAAACCTGCTTCACTTTACCGGTTTCTGCGATATGAATTCTCTTTCATACACGGCAACACCACTCGCCATCCGTCCAGTTGTCCGAGTCAACAGCGTGTATTATATGCCGCCTCCTTTAATGATTACATTTTGCCTGCAATACCTAATCGCTTTTTCAATCTCAAACAGCGTTTGACATTTTTCTTTGATTAATATTCCAAGCTTTTAAGGCCTCCATTATTTTCCAAAATATACAACGTGACTGCTGTCAAGGCGCTCACCGGTCACTTTGCATCACGTCAACTGCAACGAATCGCCTGCCATGGTTTTTACGAACCGGAAATGGTGAGCCGGAGTAGTCGTTTATTGCGTTGCTTTGTAGTTTACATCTGCAACGGCATTGAAAAGATTCCGATTTGACAATAAAACCCACTATAACACACCGTAACCCTCAAAAATCAACAAGCATGAAACAATCATCCGCGGCAGATACACCCCAATCACAACAAGAAAAACTCTTCTATACTGTCCTGCTCGGGAATCGTGCCCATAACGCATATCGCATTCCCGCGCTGTATCTGTATAGACAAACGCTGCCGAAAAAACTCTTTGGCGCGTTTCTGGCCAGTGGCAGATATTAGGCAGCTTCCAACCTTGTCCACAAGTTTCTTAGTGCCACCGTCTACTGTGAATCTCAAACGCCGCCGCAACAAAATCGTATCGTGGCATCAGCCAGTTGTGCTTCGATAACTTTCGGCTTGCCCCTTTCGGCTTGCGGCTTTGTAGTTTGTGTTGCCTAAATTGCTCGGCAAACAGCGGAACTAACACAATCGTGCAAACAACTTTTACAAGCACAAAAATAAAAACCATAGAAGACTTTTAAAATACACCATAGAAGCACTTTTGTTTGCTAAATAATTCCGATCACGATGATAAGATAACAGTGATAATCCGTGCGGAAATCGCAGTCCATTCAATCTGCATATCCGAACAGAAAACTGTGCATCTGCGCTCGAATGCTACTACCGGAAATCGATAACAATGGTCGGAGCGCATGAAATATAAACTTCGCGCTAGGACGATACATGGCGGATAAGCTGTCCGGCCATTCTTAAATGACATTTTTCTGACTCACAACGCTTCGGTTCAGTGACACACACACGCCTGCAGCTAGCGTATTTGTTAAATTTGCAAAGTGCGCCTATCATCAACCATATCGTCAGCGATCATCTCCTCCATTTAAAAAAACCCCTTGCATGTTTCCTACACCGTCAGCATTCTGCCAACTCCTCCACTTTGTCCCGTGCGTAATCATTACCATTGCAGCGTGATATTTATCATCTGTCCAGAAATCCTCCCCTTGCACCGCGGCCATGGCGCAGAATAAGAAGAGCGCCCCGGAGGAGGTGCACAAGGTGATTATGGTGGGCGCTGGGGGTGTGGGGAAGTCGGCCATCACGCTGCAGTTTATGTACGATGAGGTGGGTACGGTTTGATTGCAATGTTATCCCTGATGTGTTGCTGATATTCTGCACTGGTGCGGCTAGTTCGTGGAGGACTATGAGCCGACCAAAGCGGACTCGTACCGCAAGAAGGTGGTGCTGGAGTCCAAGGAGGTCTCCGTGGATATTCTGGACACGGCGGGCCAGGAGGACTACGCGGCCATCCGGGATAATTACTTTCGCAGTGGGGAAGGGTTTATGTGTGTATTCGCCCTGACGGATACGGATTCATTCGCGGCGCTCGATGAATTAAAGTAAGTTGCGAGACTGTATAATCTTTGGTCTTTGCTCATTTGGCTGCGTGCAAGCTAGATTTCACTGATTTGACTGTTTTGCAACTTTGTTGTTTTTTCGGCGGAAGTATGTACCAAGCATGTAAAGCGATTTTTTAAATACGGAGCGTGTTAAGCTTTAATTGAGGAAAGTAGTTCGGAAGTCGTCGAAAGTCGCTTTCTTAAAATATTTTGCCCGTTTTTGACGACGATAAAATTAATGAATTGGTTATTTGGAATTTTTTTTGTAATCCATGTGCGAGTATGTATTTACAGTTTATCCCGTTAAAATTATATAATTGTTTTTACGTTTTTAATTTATTGGTTTCGTTGTCTGAATTCTGAGTTTTCGTCGAGTTTGTCAGAAATTTGTGCTTTTTTAAACGTAGGGTGGCTACAAAATTCCATAGAAGTACAGTACGAGTACCATTACTGTACAGTGCTACTGTAAAGTGTAAACATACATGATACGCACTCGTATTACGTAGATTGTTGGCATTTTTTTCTTTACATGTTGTAATTACTGTGCTTTGTGACGGCAGAGACCAGATTTTTCGCGTGAAAAACATGCCTAAAATCCCCATGATTCTCGTCGGGAATAAAGTGGATCTAGAAGCTCAGAGGAAGGTGTCCATAACGACACTGCAGGAGAAAGCGCGATTGTGGAATGTTCCTTACATTGAGACGTCAGCCAAAACCAAATTCAACGTCGATAAGGTAAGTTCTGGAATAATTTATTTTGGATTGTCTGTGTGATTGAAGTCCTTGGCCAGCAGGAATATACGTCTGTTTCTCTATGCTTTGTGAATAAGTTGTCATTTGATTATGTTTTGCCCAAAATTTGCAATTTTGTGATTGGTACCGGAAGTTGTCGTTATCAGTTGACTCTTATCTGAATGTTACATGCTGATCATTTAACGTTTTGTGCCGCCAGACAGTTTTGAACTTTGAATGTCCTTGAAATGGTATACTGTATTGCCTCATTGTTTTTGCAATTTTGAATCTATGGTTACGAGTAGTTTTTAGTTTTGATTTTCGGGTTTTTGACGCATGCTTGCGGTAATTTTGCAGTAATTTCCATCGCTACTAGCGCTTTTCTGCTGTGTACGAATTATGCCGTAATGGTTTTTCAGGAATTGCATCGGCTTACGCCAATCGAATTTTCTGTAAGATAAAACGTTTTGTAGGCGTTTTACGAGTTGCTGCGTGAAATAAAGCGATGGAAGGAAGGCGAGACGGCCACAACGAAGAAGCCAGACCGGAGAAAGAAGAAGAAATGTTGCATTTTGTAATTATATATTGTGCGCGGATTTATTCCTTATTTTTTATAGTGTCTTCGTTTTATTTCGTCGGGGTCAGTACGCGTATGCGGTTGTTTTTCTTTTTTTAACCAAATTGTCCTGTCGCAGTCGCTTGATGATCGTCGCTTCTCATCAGTAGTGGCCACTTAATCCCGATTTGCTCGGCTGCGTAGTTTTCCATAGAATTTAGAGGCGTTTCTCTGTGATTTGTTCCGCATAGTAATTGGACTGTACCTGAGCGCGTTCGGCATCTATGTATGTTATTATCTTGCTGCGCGATGCTCTTGCTTTCCGCTTGAAAACCTGACAGGTTTTTTGCGTAGTTTTCATCCAAGCTCGATGTTTTTTACCGATTTTTTAATAAATAATACGCTGTCAAATGTGCAGTAGCTTCATGTTTAATCGCTTTGATAGTCGATAGATTGAAAATATTAGTGCATACTGGGATTGGTTTACTTATTTATTCGCAGTAAAACAGGAAAGGAACGAAGAAAGTGAGAAGAAACTGCTGTGTTAGAACAGTTGAATGGCTCGAGCTACTGAATAATCTGGCTGCAGTTTATCTTAATGATACTTTTGTCGCTTAACTAACAAACGAGCATTTGCACGGGATAGTCATGCGAAGGCTTTTGCAATTGTTCCTCATTTCTAAGAGAAAACGGTAATAAATTCATCCGTTATTATCGCGTACCGCGAAAAAATTTTCGAGATTTATACACAGCATGAAAATGCCCTTAATAAATTAAGAATTCCATAGCTTTTTACCACCATGCCACCGCTAAAAGCCTAAACCCATCCTAAACCGACGTCGCTTTCGAAAATCACCACCGATATCACTCTTTTTCGTCACCGGAATCCGTAATAGTATGATACACACGACTGCCGAATATCTTGCTTCCCACGCGAACCTGAGAGCTGCCCATTTCGATGGCGTGTTCAAAATCCTCGGACATGCCCATGCTCAACTCCAGTTCACTGGGATCCACTCGTAAATGTTCACACAGCGCCTGATGACACGCAAAGAGGCTCTGAAACAGAAACTTTTATACCACACAGCACGCATACACATGCATAATACACAATATAGATATGAGATACATTAATAATCATCAGAATAGTTAAATCTAAGCATACGAGAAATACATTAAATTTTGGTAAAATATTATTAACAAGTAAAAGTAATCGATTTATGTACAAGATGTAATTTTTCAGAAATTTTGCTTCCAGCATCGCCAACCAACAGCCACAAATACGAATTAAATAAAAAAACGAATTAACTGCTGTAAATGCAGAAGGGTCTGCAACTATTCGATTCTGCAAATCAGTGATTTGCGCTTTAACCACAAAAAGACAAAAAAAACGCAAAAATACGACTGACCAAATCATGCACTTATTGGTCGAAAGCGGCACTATTAATCATTTTCGCCCTGGTACAGACTGCAACAAACGTAAGGGAATCGTGTACCGAGCATACGTACAACAAAATCGGGATTGGGTCGGATGTTGGTGCTATGCTCGATTGCACCGATCGTCATAAGGCCTTTTAACTTCAAGCCGGGACAGCGGGCATTTATGTGATCAGCAATGGAAACAACCTGATCAGGATGGATACCATGCTTATCTGGAAATTGGAATAACACACAATACAATTAGAATTTATCGTTAGAAGCACCTAAGCACTTGTAAACGATGTAACGGGATGATATTCCAAGGAAAAACTATGGAAAAGATAGGTAAAAGAATTACACTAATTTTGTATTCGTTTATCAATGCTATTGTTTTTAATTCTCAGTGGTAGGATTATCAGAGGCTGAAAGCACTACTGAGAACAGAAGCCATCACACGTAGCAAACGTCTGGAAGACTGGAATACACTGCAGGCAGCGGATTTGCAAATTTACATAGTTCCATTAATGATGAAGATTGTAATACTTGAACTTTACGGTGCTCACTTGGTTCTTTGCTGGTATTAATTTCCAACATGACATCCAGTTTCCGGTCTAACTGCCGTTTTTCCCAGCCACTATTAAGAGCATCGGCAAGTTTCACGCTGTCGACTGTATCTACTACGGTCAGACTGGGAGCACCTGGAAAAAACGCATACTCGTAGTAATCAATAAGCAAAACATCAACAACAATACAATTATACAAATATACAATCTGTTATTCTTTCAACAGCATACGCCACCACCAGTATAATACGGCGGCACATTAGAATTTACATGTTTAGTTATTTACTACAGTCAACTTTCACGAGTAGGCAGAAAAGTACTGTCCTCATAATATTTTGTCACGCTACAGTGCAGCCGTATGCGGGTACATGCAAAATTATTAATAAAATTAAATAGTGAGTTCGTTGATATTTCGCACAGATGTAATAAAACGTAGAGTAAAGGCATGTACATGATGTACTGGTATGTAGCCGCTACCGCTGTACGGTTGTACCGTTTAGTAAACTGTTAAACAGCATCTCCAGACGCCGTCACGTAGACTGATTCAAATTATAATAATTTTTAAAAATTCCCGAACCACAAAAGATTTTTTTTTTCAAAACTGATTTTCTATCGAAGTATCAGTATGCTTATCTGTATTCGGTCTCTTACCTATTAACTTTGTGACTTTGTTTCTCTGTAAATGACCAATAAAATGCCATCGTATATCGGGACATTTGGAAAGGATCTATAAAAACAAGCAGTCATACAGTGAAAACCCCACCGAAGAAAGTTATAATTCGACAACTAAACACTGTTACGCTATAAAAAATCAAAAACCACGTCTCCAATATGCGCCGGAAATTCAACTGTGAAATACAGTAAATGATTCAAATTAATCGTAAACCGTTCCAATTCCGATTCCTAACCTGCTCATCGGAGGCCTTCTGTATCAGCTCCTGGACCTGTTACGAAAACGCGAAATTTTCGACAGTGCTTAAAATGAACGATGAATTCGAAAAGTGCTAAAACATCACAAATCGCAAAAAGCAAACTGCCGAACATAATACGGCTCAACTTGTTACTACAGGCAAGCAAACTTTTGACTTTTAAAGTACAGAGTATTAGAGTAGACTCTTACTGCTTACATAGTTTTCTCCGAAGTCTTTTTGTCCTGCCTGGTATGCTTCCACAATCATTTCCACGGGTTTGGTTTTGCTAACAGCAATGAGCAGCGGCTCTTTAAATCCCTGCAATGCCGCAGAGGTGCCTTATAGAGAATAAGAAACGCGACGATGAAATCGTTGTTGTACGGCGTACCTGCTTTCTGGTGGCACATGCATTCTTCATCAACTGCCGGATATTATTCAACGACGCAACGATATCCACTGTCTCCGTCGCCATTCTCCGCAGCATGAATGCAGTATGAAATCACCAAAAACATCTGCAACGCAGCATATAGTGGCGACAGTCGGAATGCAATGAATTTCCAGATTTTAAAACTACAAAATTATCTTTAGAACATAGAATTTTAAAAGCGAAATGCTTGAGTCGATTGATCAGCTGTAAAACTGCTTACCATTTCCGCTAACCATTTCCATTACCAAACGGATTGGTATTTGGATTCTGGAACCGCTTCTAAACAGGCTTTTTCCGTGAATAAGTAACTTGCAGTATAATCAAAAATTATTAGATGAAAAAATTAATTTTCTGACTAATTTTTGCTTTTTAATGCGTTTTAAAATTTTTCTTAATTTAATTTCTCAACATTCCGTCATTCCAATTTCCATGCAGGTCTTGTCAAATGGACTTGGAACTAGATGCTCTCGTTTTCCACCGGAAATGGCATCACTTCTCACGATGAAAGCTGCAAAGCAGCAGACGATTTCTGCCCGTCCGCTGCACTTGGATGAAAAATCCATCAAAATCAAAGCAGCAATTTGTAATTGGAGTATGATTGGCACACCAGCCCAAACAGACCAAGCCACTGCTGCGTATGATCGATCCACCTTCATCTTTGGCATAGAAAGTGTCAGATTATCCCTTAAAGGAGCGAGAAAATGAATCCATCCGTGGCATTGACGACAGGCAGCCTGCATCCTTCTAACAGCTTCCACAACACGCAGGCCTTCGCGTCTCCCGTATGTTATCAAATTATTGCTTATCGTGGCTGCGTGCTGTGCGACAAATTGCCACTGTCCCGTGTTTACTCTAGTCCTTGATCCTTATCCGTAATGGCACTGTCTTGACCGTGATATTGTGTGTTTGAAGATGACGGAGGAGACCATTGAGAAGACATCACAGCGCATTCAGTCCAGTATTCGCGATGTCGGAATTATCGCGCGGGAACTGCTCAAGGGATCGCGCTCGGAGGAGGTAAACATAAAACAGGAAACGGGTCACAGACCGTTAAAGTTGTGGGTGTCGGTGGCATTGCGCAGTTCCAGTTCTGTTTCATGTGACCGTGCCAGTACGACTGACGAAGTTGCAATAATTATTTATTATAAATTTCGCCTGTTTGGCGCTTGCAGCATATCATATGAATTTTCAATTCCTGCTTTATATCATGCATTCATGCTTGCATTTAGGTAGTAAGCAAGTTACGTATTTAGCCATTCTGTTCTTGTAGCAATGTAGTTGTAGTCTTGTAGATACCAGTGTATGTTTGATTAACTTGTAAGTTGTTTTAATTTTCAGTATTTGATACCGTATCAGGTTATTTTCATGAATAGCTATCTATGAGAAAAAGTTTTGAAAACCGTGAAAAAATCTGGGTAATTGCCTGATTTTTTTAAAATGTGCTTTAAACGTTTTCGGTTATAATTTTTCGACGGTGTCTGGTTAATAATTTTAGCAATGCCCGTTATCTGTGGGTAGTTTGTGTGAACATGTTACCGGGGTTTTGTTTTGTAAATTGAACCACGGTTTTGATCGTGAATTATTGTAGCAATTTTCGTTTCATACATAATGTCAGCAGGATTTGCCAGTCGTTGGATTAATTTTCCGCTGTTTTATGGGTGCTTGTGAAGATTCTCTGTCGTATCTTCGGCAGTGTTAGTGCATTTTAATTAGGACAAAGTACTTATTCATTTGAACCAAATATGTACATTTTACACTTGTACCAATCCCTAGAATTACCGCCTCCTTTTCTATTTAAAACTTTATCAATCCAACTATAAAACTAATAAAAGGGATACTTTTCAAGTTCATGGTTATATATGCTGAGGATTTTGTTTCTTTGCAGGTGCTGATGACGACAGCCAAACAGTTCGCCGGTATGGAACAAAATATTGAAAGTTGTGCTCTGGTACGTAATTTTAAACTACATTAAGTTAGTACTAGTTTTCTTGTTAGTAGGTGTTAATTGTTTGAAACTTCAGCAGAATCGTAATTCATAACCATAGTATCGAATTTCACGCAAAGAGATATCTTTCTTGTATGTATTGGCATTTGGCGGTGTATTGCACACGTAAATGTATTGTACATATTTGATATTCCTCTATTTTGCAAGGGATACTTCTAGAGAAGATGCTGGAGTTTGTCTTTGCATAACTATTGTGCATTTGTGCAAGATCATTACATGTATCAAGTTGCTCAGGTGATCCGTTGTTTTTTAGAGTGTCTCAAAAATTGAGCTGATCTCCCAGCAGCTGGCGCTTCAGTAAGTCATATGCTACGGAAAATATAGATATAAAAAATCTCAGACTGTTTCGTTTCTAACGATCTAACATTTCTAACGATTGTTTACTTTTGCAGTCAGGAATGTATTGAACAAGCGTAAGTGTGGAGTTTCCATGTTAGATTACATTGCGGCGACTAGGCTTCAGTGGCTTTCGAAGATTTTATGAAGCATTTAGCACTGGGTTGATGCAGTGGTTGTGTCAACCGGCTATTGAATCAGGCTGTTTATTTGCTGTGTAGATTAGCTAACGTGGAAGATGTGGAATGGAAATTGTCCAACATTATCGGCGCTCCGTCGGCGAACATTCCCTCCGCCTCGTCGTCGGCCACAGAATCCGTGATCGCACCTGCGACTGATCCCAATACATCCTTCGATAGCGGCTCCACCATCACCGAGATCTCAGAACGGACGGCACCGTTAGAGTAGCGACATTTTTGATTGCTCAATCACTGTTTTTTTAAATTCCAACTCACTGTGTCAGCTTCGGAAAATTTGTTCGTTCTTTTTATGTTTTGGATGTGCAAGCTGCTTTGTCCGATTATGGGCATTCGGCGTAGTGTTGTGATTTTTATGTTTATTCTTACCTGCACAGTGAACACTGCGCAGTAATGTATTATGCATGTGTAACCGAACAGTTAAGTCTGTGTTAAATATGTTTTGCTGCAGCGTAATCATAAAGTATTCAGTCAAATTCTGGTTTTGTTAACTTCCGTCTGTCCAGCAGTAGGGAATATATGGCGCACTGTTTAGTAAGTTGCTGTTCATACGTACAGAGTCAAACACCGCCTTCAAAGAATCCTTTCGGACATTCTGGCTGACGGCGGTTGTGATACGGTTTCCGCATCAATAAAATACGGTAAATTGTAATTTGTAGAATATCTGCTTATGACTCTTTAGTTCAGAGCGTGACGCTTACATTTACCGATAACTTTTACATTGTTACTGAATTTTGTATTTACAGAATTATAAACATAGAAATTCTCGACTCCTTGTTAAGCTGTTAGCAAATGTGTTTATCTGTAGAGACGGCCGTGTCACTTTTCTATATGTGCTCCTTTTCATTTATTATTGTCCAATGCGTTGTACAAGGCGGTTCTCCCGCTGCAAAGGTCATTATTATTACCTTATTATTTATTTACCTCTCCAGAAAAACGCAGTCATTATGAACTCTACTGCAGCAACCAATTAGAACGATAAACCATTAAGATACACATATACATACTAGGAAAATGCACCGAACTGTGCATTGGTAGACCGGAGCGCAGCTCTTATTAGGGTTAAAGACTGAAAGTGTCTGTAACGGCTAATTTTGGAAAAGTTTGTTTTTGAATGTGCAGAACAGAAAATAACATAGCAGATTTAGTGTGGTAGCATGTCCGAATGTGCATGTGTTACCGACCAAAACTTTCGGACGTCAAAGACATCCGGTGGACGTTTAGTCGGTAAACCGACAAAAACGTATGTGGCCAAAAGCACGTCACCCAAAAGTGGTCCGTAACTGGCAGAGGGTATAGAATTTTGCTCCGTGCCCTGAATGTCACACAATGCTGGAACCCGTTAGCCAAAATACCTACCAGGTTAGAGCATGGAAAGCATGATTTCTGGGCAATCCACCCATCCAATTTCTGAACTTTTAAAACCACAGCAAGCGTGTGGCTAGCGTTGCACCTGAAATTCAGCTCAAAGGCAGAAAGAGATATTTAGAGTGGGAGCGTTGAAATTTTGGCTGATAAGGGAGGCGTGATCTCGAGTGTTAGAATAGGCGTCCGGTATGAGGGCGGTTGTGCACCCCAATCTATCGACGTACTGTACATATGTTTTCTATACAGGCTGCCGTTCAATTTACTAATGCAGTTAGGTCACCATTGTCGGATAGGTAGTTACCATTACACTTCGACAATTATTTGGCTCAGATAGACAATTCCCTTGTACATCCCGGTAATAAATTCCCTCATATCAAAGCTTAAGCTAAATCGGCCAAACTTTTTCATATTATGTTCTTGTAATTTAGCTTGTTACCGCCTCGGTAACACCAATACACTGACGGCATTTAGAAAGCCGCAGATTAACCTGAAAAATCAGCTTACTATCTGAAATGTGCCGGATCTGGGTATCACCATTAGGGCCAAGGGTTGCCAGTGCCACTTTGGTGTTGTTGGCATGGGGTATACAGCAGCAAAACATTTTTCCGAGACAGGGAATGGGAGTGCGATTTTTGCCGGTCACATGCATACACACGGGCATGCCGCGAGGCAAATGCTTGCAGCGAGGCGCAGAGGCCGTTGTGCGGTTGTTCACTTTTTCAGCCGACCGCATTTTGGAGAAAAATTGCAGAATTTCGACTGTATGCAAAAATCAGGTACTGGTGTTGCGAAGGCCTTGGCAGGCTGGCGGCAGTCTTTGGTAGTTTTAGAAAACATTGGGGACGGATCTGTGGTTGCAGTAGCTAAAATATGCTGTGATGGATTGCCAGTAGCCACTCGATCATCACAGCAGACATGTCCGCTTTTGGGTTTAAAAAAGCTTTGTTTTTACGCATTCGTTTTCGTCGTATTCATGACCTATGGCGTAGTTCGATGCTTCTCAATACAACAGTGTATATACATAAACAGCGTACATCCACTCTTAATCCGTATTCGCCAGGGACATCATCAAGCAAAACTATTACGTCATTTTTTATTTCCGCGTATGACGTCATCGTTACTTCTGTAACAAACAGACAGACAGACACGTTTTCATTTCGCCTGAATTAGAGGACCTTCGCTGCGCTCCGATCGATGATCGGCTTAATTTGAATATTTTCATTCACAATCAATTATAACAGTTCCCTGTGTAAATTTACGCAAAACTGTCGAACCGCTGACATACGAGTACATACTTAGGTTCCATATTTACCACATGTGCAGTTTTGCCACACTTGGCTGAGCCTCAACCGAATCGGCACTGGTCCAAGATGTTTTCATACACTGCACATCTTTTGGCGTTTCCGGTGCGGTATCATGTATTACCCTTTTCTGTCGGTGCAGCAGATGGCGCCTCCCCGGGAAACTACCATCCGCCATTAACAAAAGTCGGCCAAAATCGTTCGTCCGGTATTCCCCACGCTTTTACCGTCGCATCGGTAAGGTGCTCGGGGAACGCTTTTAACCAGCGAATTGCGTCCATTTTTTGACGTATAGTCCACTTTGGCCACTTAGTTGGCACCGAATTCGGTAGACGGCGAAAACTCCTATATTTCTCTGGGTACGGTGCAAACCATTGAAACGGCTTAGCTTCGTCCATTCTGTCATGCGATTTCGCATCCCTCGGTTTTGCCTCGACTGAAATGGCATTCGTCCATGATGTTTCCACACGCTGCGCATCTTTTGGGGTTCCAGACGCGATATTATCTTTTCTTTTGGTTCAGCAGATGGCGCCTGCCCAGGCATCTGCCAAATGCCATTAACAAAAACCGGCCAAAATCTTTCGTCCGGCATTTCCCACGCTTTGACCTCATTATCCGTCAACTGCTCGGGAAACGCTTTTAACCAGCGAACCGCTTCTACTTTCATCCTCATATTCCAGTTTGGCCATGCAGTTGTAGGCGATAGACGGCGAAAATTCTTATACTGTTCTGGGTGCGGTTAACACCATTGAAAAGGCTTCACTTCCTTCAACCAGTCTAGCTTGTTTCGCTTCCTCTGTCTCTTCTTTCGCCTTTTAGAAACTACTGGAGTATCACTTGGTCCGTGTTGCAGTGCGCTCACAGTTTCCTTATGCTACAAAAGAAAGCTACGGTATATCACTCTGAGGCATCAGGTCAGTGCAACAACACTTTTAGAATATAAAGATGACCGGCCTAATTAACTTTCTCAACAGCAAAATGTCCCCTCACGCAAACTAAACTGGAAAACTGATACCTGCAGTACACGCCGAACTGCTTAAATAATAAATAGGCGCAATTTTTCATCCTACCTGAAATTCGTCAATTTCCTGATTTGCAGCGGTGTCAGATGATGTGGCATCATTCCAAGTTGATCTTACACCGTTTGCAGCTCTCAGAGCTTCATACGCAGGTTTATTTTCTCGTGCCGGTTGAACAGATTGCGGCTGCCGGGGACACTGCCGAATTCCATCAATAAACATCTGCCAAAACTGTTCGTCCGGCATTGCCCATTCTTTGAGCGTTTCTTCCGTAAAGTGTTCCGGGTATGCTTTCAACCAGCGAACTGCATCTACTTTCTCTTTAATTTGCCACTCTTTCCATGTTGCTCTTGGCCGGTTAAGACGTTGACAGATTTCCGGGTATTTAAACTGCCCAGGGTAAAACTCAAACTCCTCATTAACTGACTTTCCGCGATTCTTTTTTCTTTTCTTAGGAACCCCCATTATTTGTTGGCAGAATTCGATCTCGCTAATCTTTTCGGGCAGATCTTGACTGGGCATTTCGGTGTCATTTAGTTCACAATTGAGCGTCTCGGCGTGCAATGTGTGTGCCCCTTCCTGGACATCGGCATCGTTAGCGAAACCATCTGCTGACATTTGGTCCCCATCAAGTTCAGAATCGCATAGATTCTTTATGACGAGAAGTTCGTTAAACTGGTGAGAACCGTCCTTCTCTAAATCCCTTCCCGGTTGTCGGTCCTTGAGGAGCCTGCTAAAAAATGTTGTTCTGTTATGTACAGGAAGACTGGTTTCCAGGCTTTGCTTTTCGGAAACTAAGAAAGGTCGACTTGCGTTTTGCCCCACTTCCGGCATCCATTTTGGTTCTGGCTTGCATTCCGGCTTTGGAAAATAGGAATTTTCTTGTGTCGCTTCTTGCTGCGGATCCCGATTAGTAGTCACATTCTCCCATCCAAATCGAGGACACCAAGGTGACGTTTCTCTCTTGAGCTGCTCTTGGGTACACAAGCCCGTTCCATCCGCGTAGTTCTGGCTTTCAGATCCTCCACTTTGTGGTATTCTCTCCGCGACAGACTGTGGTGCAGAAGAAACACCCGCTTCGGCTAGCTCTGAATAGTTGGGCGGTGTGCAAGCTTGGAACATCATAATATATTATTATCTTGCATTTCCTGATCACCGCTCCTGACGCACTATTTACTAGTAATAGATACAATTAAAATTTCAGACCTAAACTTATAAAAGTTATGCACACTGCACACAAAGCAGTAGTGCTACGGCGAACTAGGTACATCACGCAAAAAAGTGCGCCTCATGTGCTCTAGCGACTGAGTCTACCCGTATTAGCGTCAAGAGCCTGCAGCTGTACTCGTGCAGTAATACTACGGTAGTAATACTTGTATAAAATAATTATCATATTGTAGGAGTAATGAGAATCAATTGCAATTTGTGTTTCAGCAGCGTTGTCACATACATGGTGCAGATCAGGTTTTCAAACTTGTCTTTGAGTAGATTGAATGAGGTTCACGTCGTCGATTAAGATGAGTGAAATGTGCGCGATCGCAGGGTGCTTATGAAAGTTCTAGAAGTATTGTATATACAGTAATTATATGAGAATACGTAATCAAGAAAAGAGCGAATGCAACCGTCGAAACCTTACGGTTGCCAATGTTGTGCATAACAACAGAACTGTCCAGCTGCAAATTCCCGTTCCGGCAGCACCGTCCGCGAGGAATTCGAATTCCGATCACTGTATTGTATTATAACACATAAAAGATGGGTACGAGTAGACTTTTTTTGGAAAAGTCGGTGGTGTTGCCGGCTTAACGGCAGCCTGTCGGGCTGATAGTCGATCCGTTGTTGCCGGTTGCATGGGAAATGTGTATTTTTGTTCCACAGAACTTAATGTACATGTTTCGTGTTTCTGTACAATTTGTAAATTGTACAGCACCATGTCTCCGCTGCAACATTGCAACATGGTATACAATGATACTTTAAAAAGTGTGACCTTCATCATCGACATCTGTTAATCCAGAACGCTAGCTGCGAAGGCACACAAAAGACTTTATAGCGAAGAGAACAGCGAGAACTTTACATGCGAAGTATATGTTACAACCGGTGACGAATTTTGACGAAATGCTTTGTTATTTGTCGGTCGACTGCCTTGATTTTGTTGCTGTGTAACTCCCTGCCATTTCTTTATCCGACAGTTTGAGTAAAATTTCGAAAAATGACCAATTGTCCAGTTACATAAATGAACATTGATTGAACGCTAAATCACGCAGGTACAGGTACATTGTCCAGTTATAAGACGTATTGTGCAGCAACGAGCATATTCACTACTGCATCCTACGTGGCTACGTTTATATTTTGATAATCTTTACTTTTAGAAGTTGCTTATGCTACAGGCTTAAATTTGAACCGTACGCTTTAATGTAAAGATAGGCCTTAAACAATGTTTTTCTTATTTCTGTCTAGAAGTATAATATACAAAGATATTATATACAGAGGTATATACAAAGAAATGCTCACAGGGCTTTTTGTATTATATCTTAGCCCTTTGTATTATATCTTAGCCCATATCTCTTTGTATTATATCTTTTTGTATTATATCTTATCTTATTATATCTTAGCCCTTTGAGTACTGGGTAGAGATATGGCTGTAAGTACTGTATGATGCGGTGTGTAATTATACTGCGCAATTAATTGTAAATAAATGAGTACGCAAATAAGTATTTGTAAGGCACTGCAAGTCTGTGCGAGTGTGAGTAGTGGTGTCAGTGCTTAGTGTGAATGCAAGAAATTGATGCCGATCAACTGCTGGCAATCACACAAATGCCTGAAAATGGAACAACTGTGGGAATTCTTATACCAGTCCCTATGCAGAGTGTTATCGTGATCTCTCCTTGGACTTGAACCTAGAATCTGCCAGTGGCAGTGTTATCAGCGCCAGTGGCATTAATTCTGAAAGGAAATTACCGGTGCACGCCGCTTGATTGATAGAAGTAGAGACTGTACAAGTAGAAGTACTCTGTAGAAGTGCACGTAGAGACTGATGAAACGTGAAAACGTGAAAATCTGTGCGCTGAAAACGTGATTTAATCATGTGCTGTGGTTATGTTGCTGGTCAAGTATAGTGGACTTTACAAAGGTGGTAACGCAGAGAGCTCTTGTCTCTGATTAATTTCCAGGTACGAATAAAAACATTTACCCGAAGATGAAATACTGGAGCACTCGATCTCACCAGAAAACCTTCACGTTTGAAGAGGCCTTACTGCTGGGTTACGCTCCGGATGGCGGACTGTTCATGCCAACGCACATTCCTTCCGTTGACTTTACGACATGGATGACATTGTCATACCCGGAAATCGTGCTGGAGATATGCAAGATCTTCATCGACCCAACAGAAATACCCCATGACAAGCTTCGAGGTAAACAAGTAATCTTGAAAGGGTAATTGCATTTGTGAAGCAATCACAGACTCGATCTGCTACTTCTGCCCTTGTGCATCGTACATATGTCAGATGCTTGAAGTACCTGTTTGCTGTAGAAATAATTTTAAGCCAACTGCAATCCGACCTGGTTGCGACGAAGCGGTTAAGCGATGACTGCAGCGTACTGGAGTTGTTCCACGGTAGTACGCTGGCCTTTAAAGACTTGGCCATGTCTTGCACCGCACGCTTCCTGGACTATTTCCTGCAGAAGCGGCAGCGGCATTTGAACATCATTGTCTCCACGTCCGGCGACACCGGAGCTGCGGCGATCCAGGCTATTCGCGGCAGTCCGCACATGGACGTTTTTGTTATGTATCCGCTGGGTCGGGTGACAGAAATCCAGGAACTGCAGATGACGACGATGGCCGCAACTGCCGAGAATGTGCATCTGTTCGGACGTAAGTGAGAAACCACTTACCCTTTAGCCGTTTTTCCAATTCACGATAAGTTCTGATGGCTGGGAACTATGAGCATAATTCCCTACTATTGTACGTCATCATACGCGCACGCACACAGAGCAATATTAATAATTTTCAAAGTGTATGAGATATTTGCTCTATTTGTATTTATAAAGTATCGTATAAGGTAGACTATGGATTATCGCCGTTTTTAACTCGATTCACGTTCCTTCGTAGCTATAGAATAATTATTAATAAATTTGCTAGGAGTAATTTTGTGTAGTTACCGGCACAAGCGATGATGGCGACGAAGTTATGAAAGCGTTGTTTGCTGATAAAGAGTTCGCGGAGCGGAACGATTTGTCAAACGTGAACTCCATCAACTGGTCACGAATCCTTATACAAATCGCGCCTTATTTCTACGCGTATTTCCAGTCAGGTGCCAAACCGGGACAAGTTGTAGAGATCGCTGTACCGACTGGTGCAGCTGGGAATTTGATCGGTAGGATAATAGTGGAATACGTCTGTACCTTTGACATAAATACATAAAAACTTTTTCTTATGTAATTAAAATTTAAATTCGAGTATATGGCTGCTTTTTTGATCGACCTGAACACTGTGCGTGCGTCTAGGTGGCTGTATTGCTCGCGCCATGGGACTTCCGGTACGTTTGGTCGCCTGTACCAACGATAACGATGTGATTCATCAGATGATTCAAACTGGTGTACTGATGACCGGGAGTGTTAAGCAGACCTTGGCATCTGCGATGGACATCCAGGTATATTGATAAGTTAAATATAAATACATATACTTGAAGTATTGATAAATAAGGGCTTTTCTGCATTGCGGATGGACAATTCGATTTCGTATACATAATATGTACTTTCATTTCTACACGTAGACTTCCACTATTTTAGAGCGAAGGTTGTTTTAGCTAAGAGAAGGAGCGAAAGTTGGTTGTTTAGTCAGTTTGATTTCGCGGTTTTTGATTAATTTTTATTTGCATGTTCTATTAATGTTGAGGAAATCGTTTTGTGGCCTAATGGCCCTATAATCGGACAGCGACCATCAGCGCATATCGTTAAGCAGGATTGTGGAGTGTAACCGTGTAACTCGAGGATTTTCTTGTAATATCTACAATACTAACATGATGAATACATCTACATGCGTATATTGTAGATTTGGTTAAAACTGGGGTTTTACTTGCACAGTGTAATTCGACTATGAAAATCAGATCCGTGCACTACAATTTAATAAGAACAATTATGTACGTACGTATTATTAATAAGAACAATTATGTAGGTATGTACACCATATTCTGCGCTCAGCGGGTGCAGCATGTTTTGCATTGTTGTTTTCGCCATTCATGCTAATACCGTATTTCCAGTTTTGGATATTGCTTTTACTAGCCCACCTTCTGCATTTTGTTTAATTAACGCCGTTTTTGACTTTTGATTTCTGACCGCCTAGATGCCTTACAACATTGAACGAATACTGCACGTGCTGTCGAACGGGGATACCGCCCTTTCCAAAGAGTTCGCTAATGCTGTGGATGGTGGGAAAGCTTTGCGCTTGGGAGACACTCTGCATACTAAGGCAAGAAAATGCCCCGTAATATTCTCCATTTTGATGCAATAATTTTAACAATCTGCAGGTTAAAGAAACTTTCCATAGCCACACTTCATCGAACGCAGGCATCAAGCAGACGATTAAAACCGTTTTCGAGCAGCATCAGTACGTCGTGTGTCCTCACACTGCGACGGCCTTGCATTATTATTCAGCAAACCAATCGAACAGCCGCAAGTCAGCCGCGTGCGTCTGCATTGCCACAGCGTCGCCCGACAAATTTACGGAAGTACTGGATGAGGCGGGGATTAAGAATACCGGCGCGGCTAAGTCGTTGTTGAATGAACTTCGAGTTTCTCCTCAGAAAGTGTTGCGACTAGAAAATCGTGACGAATGGGTTGCGGTGCTACGAAAAAGCATCGAGGACCACCGAAAATTAAAATCCAGGATGATCTGATTCAGAACTGAAAGTATGGTCTGTTCACCTACAGATATCAGTCAACATGGCGTGACCTTACCGAAGTCTGCTTTTTTAACGGATTTGACCTTAAAGCTTCCTACATAGCTAATTTTGGGCTTACATCGTGTTTTGTGCATTTATTTCGCTGAGGTTGTTACGGCAGTTAAATTTTAATAAAAACTTGAACAACTTTCCTGTAGACAGTAATTATTATAAAGTGGAACAGCACTGGTATTATTAAGCGTTTGTTTAGTGCTGTTCGGCCTTCTGTCACAGATATAAACAGTCATAACTAAACAAACAGACGAGCGAAAACAAGTTACGAACACTGTCATGCCGGCATGACGTTAGAAAAACTTGAAAAAGCAGAAACTGAAAACAGAAAAGCGTCAGAAAACCGTTAAAGCTTGAAAAGCTTGAGAAAAGCGGAAATCCCAGGTCGGCCTTTGCTGGTTGATTCAAGCAGCTGGATTTGCTACTCGTCCCAGAAAGAGAACAGTTCCGGTTTCATCGTGCTGAATAGCGAATAAGAAGGGATGATCGGCTTTGAAAACGCGCTGAAGATCGTCAGGAAAAATCGTTAAGGAAACCGGCACCACTTTCAAACCGGTGGCTGCTGCTGCTTCTGTTCCTTTTTCGTCCACCTCTGTATAGGTAACAAATAAAATAAATGTAAAACCTAGATGATGGCACAGAGACCGCAAGCTGCTTAATGTATGTAGAAATTTTTGTGAACCAAAAATCTCTGACGTACGAGCAGCCCCAGTGAATAATTTGCACGTACATACTAGCCAACAACCGTACAGTGTATAAAAACCCAAATTAGTACATACAAACTGTATAGAGCCTATATTATAAAGAGTATAAAAATATTTGTTCGTTAGTTCAAACATACTTACAGTATGATTAGAAATTACAGTCATATCGTACATGTTCACTACAGCATCCTTGTAAGTCGTAATGAGTATTACAGTACAGTACTAGTACTGCAAATACAGTATTTTAATGATCGAATGTTAGCCGTAAGGCTTAATTTATTACCAATGAACGCCTTATGAACCACTTCGCCGACATTCAGCCGCTGATCGGCCATCCCGCTGAAATCAGCATTCGATTGGAATGCATCCTTGACGCCCATCTTTTTCAGCGTCTCGATCAGCTGATAATCGGTCTCGATTCTGAATTTGGGCAGGGTAATGTCCACTTCATAGTTTTGGTATTTGGTCTTGTCAAACACCGACGCGGTCAGCTTCTTCTCAAGATCAGCCAATCCGTCCCTCTTATTGGGCAGAATTATCAGCATACTGGCACTATTGCCCGCGTAAGACTTCTTAAGAACAGTGGCAGCTAGTTCAGGAAACTCCGCATAATTCACATCCTGATCCACCTTTTTCATAAAGCGAGTCTTCAATCTGTTCCCGTTGGCAGTGAAGAAGTCGCCTTCCTGCGTGTTTTCGTTGTTAAAATGGTCTTCCCATTCAGCTTTGAAGTAAATCGCACTGACCAGCGCCAGTTTGACATCGCTGGACATTTCGGAAAATAAATTCTTGATGCGGTTATTAGTGACGCTCTCCACCCATTGGTTGATCTGGTTTTTAGCTCCGCCCGGATTGCCCGCAAAGTCAACCTGGCCGAAGGTCGTGTTGTACGATGTCTTCAACGTCGAATCGAAATCCTTCTGAATCTTCAGTCCTTTCTGAAGGTACACGCGATTGGCCAACGCGAGATACGCAGTTGTGCGCTTCCATTGGTCGTCCGGGGAGGCGGCTGTACTCGATGGCTTGGCGCCCTGCGTGTGTATGTCCAGTTTGCCGAATAAGTCCTTGAAGCTCTTGTCGATCTTACTGGCATCTCCAAGGTTTTTCAATTTCGTGGCCGTTAGAAGCTGATCCCTCGTCGCCCCTTTGGCTCCCACGTTGAGCATGGAAAGGGCTGCCAAAATGCTGAATGGCGAAAAGAACACATTCTCACCCGATGGGATGGCGTTAGCTGAGACCAAATTGCTGTATAAATTCAGGGCAAACTGCTGATTTGCCAGAGCGATGCTGCTGGTGACCATGATTTTTCCGGTAGCCTGAATTACTGTAATTAGCCCCACCGTAGTTCCAGTAATTTGGCTGTGTTAAATTCTGAAGCGAACTTGAACCGTGGCTTGCTGTCGTTGAGTTATGTGTGTGTCTGGGGCATAAATAACTACTTCCAAACCTGTTTGATTTTATCGTTTACGTACAATGCACAGTACATGCCTGGAAAAACGTGTATAAATGAAGGTGGAACGCCTTACTTGTTGATTGCAAAGGGTAATAAAAGATTAATAATTATGTACAGTCTGTACGTACTCGCTCAGTGCATCTTAATGGTAAGTCCCAGTGCTCTCAACATATTTAAACCGGTTCAGAAACTGAAGTCTTACAATTAGATATGCCTCGCGAAGTGTTTATTGTACAGTTGTATTGTACTTTGATACGCGCCCCGAGCAGTGTTGCACTGGCATACTGTGCTATATGTTGTTCCTAACTGTAGTCTAAACTAGTCGGTTTAGTCTAAACCACCTATTATAATACCATAAAATACTCTGCTCAGTACATATTTTATATTTTACCATAAAATTATAAGATTACAAAGAGAAATATTGCTTATGAAGATACTGCTATATATGGGCCATATCCGAGATTGGTCCTTTCAGATTAGGCAAACGATTCGTTCTCTTGTATGTACAATACTGAGCAAACGATGCGTTTAATTAAGGTAATCAACTGCAAGTGGTAACTGTGCAGTTACAAACTTACTTCGCAGTTTATTTATTTTCGGGCATCTGTCCCCGACTTTTACTTATACACTTCAAAATTCAAATATCACAACCGACAGAACTCACAGATGCGAAACTCACAGACATCATAGTATCAGTATCACAAACATTGTGTATAACTACTGAAATTACTCTTGTAGTGCCAATCCGTATATAAATTTATCAGCTTCTGTTGAATGTTGCGGTTAACCTTGGGAAATACGACTTCATATGGGTTGATGTTAATTCCGAAATACCAGCCTTCCCAATTCGGATCATTGTACGAACAGTTGAACCGCATCATTCCCACCCGATATGCATTCATCAGCACGTCGACGTCAAACCCCGCTTTCCACACTGCGTTAGTAAGACGTATTTCTCCCTTTTGAATAGCTTCTTGATGGTTCTCAAAGCATTTTAAGGTAGGCAGGATGATCTTCAAACCAACACGATCCGTCGCTAGCATCATTGACTGAACATGTCGTTTCGGAATGCAGCAAAAGGTCGTACCCACCAACTTGACCTTTCCAGCCAGCCGTGAAAAAAATATATCGCTCCAACAGTTTTGCGACCAGAACGGTAAAAAGGGTCCACGAACACTGGCATTCAGTAGGATGAAGCGAGAATAGTTTTTGTACAACTCATTGTGAGTTAAGACTTCTTTGTAAGCTCCTAAGTCTTGACAGGTATTATTGCGCAAAATAACTTTGATGTTGGGCTTTGCAGGAATAGGTGGCATGTAGCTGCCCTTGAATCCGCCCTGGATGATGAAGACAAAATCGGCCTGATTGTGCAGGCCGTGCCGGAGGAAAAACTCCAAATTGATACGTGCGTTCGGGGTGTCTTTAAAGGCAAACACAATCAGACTTGGGATATTACTTCCCGGTGATAGCACAGCCCTTTTCGCAACAGGCTGGCTATGATACAGCAGCGATTTACTGATCAAAAACAGTGGATGATGACGCAACAAGTCCGACAGATTCTTCCTAAACTGGAGTGATGCTACCAAAATTAGCGTTGCCAGTGCTATAAAAAGCTTGACCCTCTGGATAACAGTTAGCATTTTCACCGGACCTTAAACGTTGTGCCTCGCGTATATTTACAACAAAACCCTTTTCAGAAAACGATCAGAGTACTCGAACGAAACTGAAAGCAAGCTGATGGAGCAGAATATTGCGTCAACAAGTGGCGAAAACTCAGTAGAGATTTGCAACTAGCCTAGCCTAAACTAACCTTTACCATGCGCTACTGTACAGTCGATGGTATCCAAGTATGACAAAAAATAAAAGTTTTCGATCTTTTTTCGCAAAGCAAAGCTTCCGCTTCTATATATAAACAAATTTTATGAGCAAAGGGTCGCAGGCTTGTAGCGCGACAGCATAATTATCACTTACGTAACCGTATGTTTAACGTCAGAAGTCGTGCGTAACACCGAAAAGATGTAGAACAAAGTTTGTTATACAAGTTTCGATTCGATGAGCGAAAGGTTTTTACCGTTTAGGCGCTAACCTGGGCAGTTACAATCTACTAAATTACACAATAATTATATGTAAGTACTAATTACGACTGGCCTGCCTATATTTTCCATGCATATATGAGTGCAGCACAAAAAGGTTTCTACGCACACATCGACGACCTACCCGTAGAGTAACAGGCAAGTGAGCTATGAAAAACGAGCGACTAAACCACGAGCGATTAAAATGCTAAGCCAAGAAAGCTGTTGATCACCCAACTTTTATTTCGCTCTGCTAATGGAAGAAGAAGAAATCAAGAAATTTCGCAAATTTTATTGATCGGCCAACTTCTTGACAATTCGGAACAACTCCTGTGAATAATCGCTCAAGTTTTTAATCTCCGAATTGCGTACCGCACTTGGTTGTAAGTGTTTTCATTTTACTTACTAACCCCTTATAGGACAAAACAAAAAAAAGCTGTATAATTTGCGCCAAAAACAGTGTTTGTAAGATTATTCGCCTTTACTCGTTCACCTAAAGTAGTGCAGCCATCTCTATGCCGGACTGGGATTGGACACGCGTCCGATGAACAAGATAGCGCCGGTTTCGCGGTGCTGGATGGCGAACAAAAAAGGATGGTCAGCTTTGAACACTTTCTTCATATCGTCCGGGAACTCTATTGCCGACAACAGCACCATTTTCATGCCGGTTGCAGCAGCCGCTTCGGTTCCTTTCTCATTGACCTCTGCAACATCATATAACCATACAATTAGCAAAAAATCGTAATTTCATTTTCTACAGCCTCCGCCTTACGTTTCTTAATTTTATATTGAAGTGAACCACTTTCAAACATTTTTGTCAATTGCATGTTCTTAAACGAGTCTTCTTGGTGTACATACCGACAAATGTTTTATGAACCACTTCTGATATCTTCAGCGGTGGTTGCGTGGAAATCCCGCTGAAATCGGCATTATCCTGGAAGGCATCCACAATACCGATTTGTTTCAAAGCAGCGTTGAGATTAAAATCACTCTCGATCTTAAATCTCGGCAAGGAAATCTCCACTTCCGCCCTCTGGTACTTGCTGATATCAAAGTGGTCGGGGCTGAGATTCTTCTCCAGCGCGGCCAGCCCGTCCTTCTTATTGGGCAGAATGAACAGCATGTGGACAGCTCCGTGGGCGTACGGCTTAATTAAGCCGGTAGCATCCACATCCGCCAATTTGGCGAATTTTGCTTCGTCATCAGTCTGCTTCATACACGGTACATTTTTGAAGGTGTTCCCCTCCCCGAAAAAATCCCCGTTCACGGTGCTCTCTTTCTGGAAATGGTCCTCCCATTCGGCTTTGAAATAAATCGCACTGACCAGCGCCAATTTCACGCTTGGTTCAATCTGGCTGAAGAGATTCTGAATGCGATGATTGGCGACACTCTCAACCCACTGGTTGACGTCGCGTGTCGCCTGCTGTGCATTGCCCGCAAAATCCGCCTCACCTGCAGTTGGAATTGAAACTCAAATTGAAATTAAAACAGTTTTAGGTCGTTTTGGTAATGATCTGAAATGAATTTAAACGATGAAAACAGAATGAAATCTCACAAAATACTTTTTGTAAAGCTTTTGGTTCCGAGTACTTTTTTCTGTTACGGCACAAATTTTATTTTATTTAAAATTTATTTATTTATTTATTTAGATGTTATTTAAAATTTTAAATATTAACCAAGCCTTACCGAACGTGGTCTGATAGAAATTTTTTAGCACATCTCCAAATTCCTGCTTGACACTGAAACCCTTCTGCAGATACACGCGATTGGCGATGGCTAAATACGGCGTCTGGCGTGTCCATTCGTTGGGGGGTATGGCAGGGGCGGTTGAGGGGGTGGTATGGACTGCCAGGCGGGTAAAAAACGACATGAAGGCACTGTCGATAAAGGTGTCGTTCATCTTGTCTAGATGGGTGGCCTTGAGGATCTGCTGCTTGGTTTTGCCCTTGGCACCGACATTGACCATCGACAGTGCAGCCATGACGCTGAACGGCGAGAGGAAACCGTTTTCATTGCGGGGTTTACTGGCAATTAAATTCCCGTACAGATCCAGGGAGAACTGGTTGTTGGCCAGGGAGAATGGGGCGATGACAGCGGCAGCCATTGCGTCGGTGTCTGGTATAACTGGTGTGCTCATAATGCTGCCGGTGTATTTACTTATATACGAGTACTTCTATTCGGTGGAAAAGCAAAAGTTTGATTTTTTCAGGTGATAAAAATTAATGATCGGCCAAAGTGCAAATGCCACTCTACTGCACGATGCACTGGTTCGTCGTATACTCGTATGCATCCTGAAGCTTGTTTATTCTTTAAACGTAGTGTGCCTTAGCTTTGGTACTCGTACAAGTTGTTGAGGCCCGACTCATTATTGATTGGTATTGAACAGTACAGTGGACTTCAAAATTTTGTTACATTCGGTCCGGGACCGAATGACCAATAAAAATAAATGGCCGGGACCAAATGACCAATGAAAAGGAACGTGCAAGACTTTGAACACCTGCACCTTGCGCATTTCTCAACTAAACCATCAACCGATATATCAAACGAAAGAGAAAAGAATTTCGAAAATTTTGATACCAAACAGGTCATCCTTTATGAGATCTAAGAGAAAATCAAGCCATTTTAAGTTTGTCGTAGACAAAGCATACGATTTCCGTGTGAAAACTGAAACCAAACCGTGGATTCAAATCCTATGCTATGTCTACGAGAAACTTTAGATGCGTCGATTTTCTCTTAGATCTCATAAAACACAGCTTGTTTAGTATCAAAATTCTTGAAATTTTTTTCTTATTCGTTTGAGATATCGTTCGATGGTTTCCGTTGGGAGATGCGCAAAATGTCAGCGTTAATGTCAGCAGGCCGATGGCCAGTTCAAAATTTGGCTGTTCAAGTACAGAAAAGTCCTTGATTGCGCGCGTTTTGTGATTACATAAGTG